TGGTTAAATATCTGAAGTTTTTCGATTGATAAGCGTTATAATAATTACAGTTTTTTGGTGTGTCGCGTTGGTTATATTTATAGGCGGGTGGAGAGTTTCTCGAAATTTCAGTTTTACATAACAATACTGATGCTTACACAAGCGTTTACGTATGCACATATATTGTTGATTGTTACTCTTGAGAATCTTCTACAACTTTGGAGAATAGGCGGGAGTGTAGTTTTGTGCTCAACTCAAGCAAAACAAAAACAAAACCTTATACATTTACTCCTCGATATCTAATAATCGTTATTTGAAAAACAGAAACAAAAAACAACACCAAAACTCTTCTCTGTGGAAAATATCTTAAAATTCACATTATATATACGACAATAAATATTAAAACTTATTTTATTATTTCCATGTTTCCTATGTTGCCAATAGGCGTTTCTATATTTACTGAACCTGTTACAATTATTATATCTGTGGTTAATACCATCTGCCTTTTTACTAGGTCATAGATGTTGCTTGAAACTATTTTATTTGCATTAGCAAATATCTTTTTTTCTTCTTAACATTTCGTTGCTATAACGTCAAGATAACACCTGTTGCTTTAATAGGTGACAGACATTACTTTGTGGATATTTCCATTGCAATATATGAACAATATCTTTGTTTTCATAGCATGACACTTATGTTCTGTGTTTATTTACTTGGTTAACTGTGTTTCCTAGAAGGTTTGGTTGTTTCCCATTTTGTTTCTGTTAGATAATAGGTGTCATTCTAATGGTATATTCCGCTTCACCAAAAGTAACGTGGATTATATATAAACAACTGTTACCACGAAATGATAATCCTGAGTAATTTTCCTTATACAGCTAGTGCTTGTTGTAATATATACAACATGCAACATTTCTCGCTTAATTGAGTTGTTCCACATTCATTTTTTATGTGTTTTGCATTTCTTTTTTCAAGCTTTGTGTATAATTACTGCCACTTATTTTAAATCTTTGTAGCTTGCGAGACAAACGCCCTAACTACCATACCACGCTAGGCCTGAAAGCATGTGTAAAAGGGATTAATACACAGAAAATTCCCTAAAACGTCGAAGTGTTATTGCTTAAACAATCCACTATGAAGGTGGTCACGATATCAACTATGTTTCATTTTATTTTTATTATACGTGATCATGGTTTGTGAATTGTTTCTTACATATTTTCATTCTTCTGTGGTGAATTTGTTTTACACATATTTCAGTTATAATTTGTGGCTAACCTGTCTTTACTTTTTCTAGATAAAAAGTTTGTCTATGGTTGACTTCTTCATTCTTATGTCACATTTATCTGTTTCAATGATCTTTACTTCTTCACGTTATATATTCCGCTGTTATAATTAACAGTTATGTTTGTTTATCTTAAATCATAGTGGATATATCTGGTTAACTTTACTGTGTTAATTAATTATCGGTGTTCTTTGTTTAATTTTCTCAGGTTATGATTGCTGCTGTCAGTCAAGGAGAAGCTGAGGTAATCCATATTCGCATTTCAGTCACAGAGTTTAACAGATTTCCACCAGAATTTGAAAAGGAGCTTTATCATGAAGAGCTGCACGTGAATAACTCAGCAAATACATCTGTGTTGCGAGTTCATGCCCATGATGCTGATCTTGTAGCTTATAATTCTGAAATTTATTATTATCTTGGAAAAGAAGCACCAGATAAAATATTTGAACTTGACCCAAACACGGGCCAGTTGACTTTAATGGGAGATTTAAACCGATCACAACATTGTCTGGCGTTTGATGTGATTGCTGAAGACGGTGGCTCCCCCTTAAGACAAGCAAGAACACGTGTTGAAATAACGATCAAGACAATTTCAGGTATGCTTGTTTTAGTTTTTTTCTTACTTCGAATAGGCTTCAGGCTTTAGTATGTATAAAGAATTTCATATTATAAAGGGATGTCATGAATTATTTAGAATGACATTTAGTTGAACCCGACATTTTCAACTTTAGACCGAAGCGAATAAACCTAGAAAATGGACGGCGGTGCAACCCATAGATGAAATGTGTATAAATTTTCCCTCATTGACCAGGTTAGAAACAATGAGGCCAAAGTTCCATTTACTAGAGTCTATGGCTTACAAATTATCTTACGAAGATATTTCGCCTTATTGAATATAATTGTTCAGTCCCAAAGACATAACAAATATTTTTTTAAATAATCACCGTCTTGTTGTCCAACATTTATCAGGCTGCTTTGAAGGAATCAAGATAACTGATTAAAGTGACACATGTGATTTCGAGACAGGGAGACAGGTTATTCGGTGTTTAGTAATTCATAATTAACGGGGTGGGATCTGTTGTAAACTTTATGTTTTACTTATCATGTAACAGGTGTAAAAAGGGTTACATAAATATGTCATATATTTTTTTCTATTTTGCACTTGGGCGCTCAAATTTTTTGTTAATTTTGCTACTGTAAGATACGTTGTAATTTGCTAATATACAACTTACAAACCATGTAAGAAATACTTGACCTTTACCATAGGCGTAAACAGTAACAAATTCTGGTGATTTCCATACAGTAGGACCATATTCAACTGTATATTGTATCATTATTTAGATTATTTGAGAGGAGCTGCAGAACAATGGTTTTCGGCTATCTTATATAGGCATATTTTATTATAGTTGGATTTAAATGATGACTATTGTATAGAAACCAAGATTTAGTATACCTTGGTATTTTTGTTAGTTTTAAATGAAGCTGCAAATTGGACGTTCTATGTATGTTATCAAAAACCTCAATTTCGAATTTTCTATTTATTTTCATAGTTTTGTACTCAGTAAAAGTGTTTTCTAGATAAATTATTTTTCTTTGCTTTGCCAAAAAAGTCACTAACGCTATGGAGCGTAGGATGAGTCAAATACGATATTAAAATTATTGATGGTTCCTTATTGTTGGGCCCGGCATGGCCAGGTGGTTAGGGCGCTCGACTCGTAATCCGAGGGTCGCGGGTTCGAATCCCCGTCACACCAAACATGCTCGCCCTTTCAGCCGTGGGGGCGTTATAATGTGACGGTCAATCCCACTATTCGTTGGTAAAAAGAGTAGCCCAAGAGTTAGCCGTGGGTGGTGATGACTAGCTGCCTTCCCTCTAGTCTTATACTGCTAAATTAGAGACGGCTAGCGCAGATAGCCCTCGTGTAGCTTTGCGCGAAATTAAAAAACAAACAAACTTAATACTATACTTTAGCATTAGAACTGTTTCAATTTTATGATGGAATAATGTATGAAATTAAGTACAATATAAACAGGCTATTTTATTAACAACAATGTAAGGTCACTTTTCTCGTTTGGTTTTTAAGAACCTTTGGACATTCACACACTAAACGCCACGGATTCTTTGGTTTATGTTTGCTGGAGCCGACCCGAGTTTGGAGATGTGACAGGATATATCATTAAGTACCGTAAAGTTGGTGGTGAGGAAAGTGGTGCCACAATAGTAAACACAACTACCAGTGCGGCTGCCAAATGCATCACACTGAAAGACTTGACACCCTGGACATACTACGAATTCAGGCTTTATGGCTGGAATACAAATGAAACTGGTATGAGAAGCAACGTAAACCGGTTTTCAACAAGACGTGCTTGTAAGTATTTTTTACTTTAAATAAAAGAAAAAAATGTTAAAATATCAGACCTTTCATTGTTGACGGATATAAGGTTTGTAGCTAATGTATATGCATGAAAGAGATACATTTATGACTAAAACTGTTGTTCTGTAGGAAGGAGTGTGGTAATTTTTTGTTTAAGATGCTTCGTTTGTTATTGTATGCATCTTTGTAATTGACATTTTGAGTATGATGCATATTAATAAAATTTCCGAATTACATGATCTTGAATTATCTCAGGGTAGGATCACAACTAATTTCAAACCATAACCAGTTTTTTCCCTATACCTTATATTTCTGAGCTATATTTCAGTCAAGGAAATTTGAATCATCTGTATATAAAGCAACATTTAAGAAATATAAGGATATGAAAACAGTAGTAAAATTGCATTATATTTCTTTTATTTTTTTAAGTATTTCAATACATTACAGAGCTGAACTATGATTGAAAATTTATCATGAACATTCATCTGTGATTAGTTTATTATTTGAAGGTATTGTTCCTACAAACTGCATTAAATTGAAAAAACTTTCTAACATATGTCACATATATATCTCTAACAAATCTATAATATAAAAACAAAAAACTCTACCCAACAAAACAAATTCACCAGGTCACAGAGTAAAGTCTACTGTAACTACTAACTTTCAAGTACTCCTTTTTTACATATTTACAGTAGACTTTACGAATAGACTGTAAGGGTGGAGAATGGGTGTCATGTTAGTTTAGACAACTCGGTAGGAATTTTATTATAATGTATTTTTCTCTACAGTGTTAATAATATTATCTTATTAATTTGAGCTTTTAACACCATAACGAGAACTGGGATGCCAACTTCAGGGGGTTTTCTTATTCACCACCGCCAATGATTTTTCTTATTTATTTTTCACTTTTCCTCTGAGGGCAGTCATCTTCCCACCGCTGTCTCCAGGCAATGAAGGGTGATATAAATGTGGTAGAACAGTCACCTTCCCACAGCTGTCTGTAGGCAATGAAGGGTGATATAGATTTGGTAGAACAGTCATCTTCCCATCGCTGTCTGCAAGCAGTGATGGATGATATAGATGTGGTAGAACAGTCATTTTCCCACCTCTGTCTCCAGGCAATGAAGGGTGATATAGATGTAGTAGAGCAATCACTTTCCCACAGCTGTCTGCAGGCAGTGATGGATGATAAAGATGTGGTAGAACAGTCACATTCCCACCTCTGTCTCCAGGCAATGAAGGGTGATATAGATGTAGTAGAGCAATCACTTTCCCACAGCTGTCTGCAGGCAGTGATGGATGATAAAGATGTGGTAGAACAGTCACATTCCCATCTCTGTCTGCAGGCAATGACGGGTGTAATAGATGTGGTACGCTGTGGGCTTGAGAACCCACATCTTACTCTGTTATCTTATTTTTATTTCTATATTTTTATTTCACTATTTTGTTAGTTGTTCTTTACATGTGTGGATTTTCGAACGGAAGTTAAGACTGATAGACGGTATATCCCCACCAGGTTTGGTCCTGCTATTTGTATAGACGGTGTATCCCCACCAGGTTTGGTCCTGCTATTTGTATAGACGGTATATCCCCACCAGGTTTGATCCTGCTATTTGTATAGACGGTATATCCCCACCAGGTTTGGTCCTGCTATTTGTATAGACGGTATATCCCCACCAGGTTTGGTCCTGCTATTTGTATAGACGGTATATCCCCGCCAGGTTTGGTCCTGCTATTTGTATAGACGGTATATCCCCACCAGGTTTGGTCCTGCTATTTGTAAAGCAGTCCTTCTTTGTTGACGTAAATATTAACTTAACTATTTAGATAATGTTCATGTTACATATGTATATATAAGCTAAACGTTCTGTATGTATAAGTTATAGAATGTAAATAAGACCTGACATTTAAGAACGTGACTGAGACCTAATATTTACAAATCTTTATCCAAAACTATTCATTATATTCAATCCTCTCTAGAAACTCATCATCCCAATTGTAAAGTTGGATTTATAGGTCAAAAAGTTTTGATTGTCCATATAAACAACTGTCACTAAAATCTATACCGTTTGTCGTGGTAGTTTGGACTTCAGTCCTCGGTTTTATTGCATACGATGTGAATTATTTCGTTAATTTTGTATCAGGGTTAATTATTAATTTTATTTTGACTAGTATGGCTATGCATTGCTTGTGTAGGCAGCAGTATGCTTTGTCTGTTTGTTTGGATCATTCATGCGTTACATGGCTGCTATGGTAATACTCACAACTCTCTCATTTTGTTCTTTCATACCTTGTCTGAAATATCTTTCGCAATCGAGTGACCATGATTTCTTAGCACGAGGATCCTATTACACGGTGTCTAGTTCTATATAAAACGTCATAATTATACATTTTGGTTGCATTTGACACATATATGTGTTCGAAAAACCATGGCACCTGAATAATGAGATTGTCATGTATCTGTCGTAACCTTGAGTCAAAAGACAATTAAAATTACACTAACCTTGAAAAAGCCTGTCTTGCTTAACATTTGCAAATTACTTCTTTATAACACAAGAGTAATTGTAAGAAATACATAGGAATGACTTCTGGAGTTTCTTTTATGGCTTTTTATGCAAATAACGTTAACTACAGAGACATTTCTTGGGTTGATTTTAATAAAATCGCAAGAGAAAACATCCATGTAACGCGTATTTTGTAACATTTCAAACAAACTTTTGTTAAGTATGCGTAGGCATTATATAAGGAAGGTACGCTGTGTGATTTGTTAATGAACAAGTTATCAGAACAGTTAATCAAAAGCTAATCATTTCATTCTAAAATAGCTTAAGTTTGTTTTACTGGATTGAATTAAATGGAAGGAAGTTGTGTTAGAGAAAGAAGTTAATTTTCAATAGTTTTATCTGACAATTTCCTTTCTAAGTAGACTTATCACCGGAAATATTCATCTAATGTTTATCTCTCTCTTGATATATATATATATATATATAATGTATCAAATCTCCTATTAGCAAAAATACCGCATCATTAGATCAAAGTAGACAACAATAATTTTGTTACTTATATAATCATTAAATCAATAATCAACAGAAGAGTCAGGTAGTATGGATGTTTTTTGTTTGCATATATTCTAATTAAATAACAGACCGACAATACTCACATCACTCGCCGGTTTCAAAGATACTTGCAATCTTATTACTTTGTTTATTTGCTTCTTTATTTGATTTAGAGTCAGAAAGTTATTGTAAAAGTTAAGGTCCATGATTCAAACGACATTGAATAATGTCATAATTTCGTGTTTTTAAGCTCTTGCATAATCTTCAGAAGCAGTTGTTTTCAGAAAATTTTAGATATAATAAAGTTGCCGTCATAATGTTTTCTCTGCTTGAAGCTTAGGTAAATTTGAATATAATTAATACTTATTCTGTTTAGTATCGACAAGAACGTCTTGTCCACCTAACGCTATAGCAAACTTCTACACCAGAAGTTTATTTCCATATAAATTTCTTTGAATGCTTCAGTTGGTTTGTTGTATAAAGTACAGGAAATATCTCCAGTTGAAATCGGGCGTCTGATTCGGGCTTGTCTGCTATTTTATAGAAACTGGGTAACTGGAAAATTAATCATAGATACTTCCAAGGAGTTTCAGTTTTATTATTTAATGCGCTACGTACATAAGGTCTAGTTATCGTTAGCATTAACATTTTGAAACCATTAACAATTAACTCGCTCGGTTAATCATGACTATTAGGTCACTAATCATTAAAAAAAAAAAGTCAGACAGCATGAAATGTTTTTCACTTGGATTTATTTTGATTAAGATTCCGATGATAACAGAATTACAAAAATAATATTACTCACCGACCAAGATTTCAAAGGTACTTGCGATATGAAACGTTTAGTACTATTCCACATGTAAACTACTACAGTTGTTTCTTTAAAAAATGTATTTTACTTTGCTAGTTTCGACGTTTTACACTATACGTTTGTATTATTGTAATAGTTATTAAAATATATTTTACTACATTGATTCCATTAAATATTATATCATGAAAAGTGGCTGAAATTTACGTTTGTGGGCTTATAACGCAGAAATCGAAGTTCGATACTTGCAGTGGTCAGTGACAAACATGGCCTTTTGTGTAGATTTGAGCTTAACAACAAAAACTTCATCTGCAATCCCCTTTTACACCTGTTCTTAAAACAATTTTTGATATAAATTATAATGGTTTGTTACAGATTGTTCGTTGAATGTATGTCAAAATGGAGAGTGCCACGTGACCACTGATGACCCAGGTTACAGATGTGAATGTGCTGATGGCTACTATGGAGACATTTGTGACCAATTTGACCAATGTTCTTTGAAACCTTGTGAGAACCTCGGAGTTTGTAGACGTACTTCCAATAAAAGTTACAACTGTGAATGTCCTATCGGATTTTCTGGCCAGAACTGTACAATATTCAACCCTTGCGCTATACAGCCATGTGAAAATGGAGCGACCTGCGAGAGTTCCGTTAGCCATACTTACACATGTCGTTGTGCTCAGGGATTCTACGGCAAGACTTGTCAGAACTTTGACGCATGCATTTCTGGACCTTGCCGTAATGGAGGAACTTGTCACAATACTTCTTCTAACGGCTTCTCTTGTGAATGTGCTGTAGGCTATGAAGGTGAGTGAATTTGATGCTGTCAGAAAACACAAATTCCTTACACCAATTACAAGTTATATCATATGTTATGTGTAACGTAGGTACATTCTATAATTTTAGGTTATTAACATTAACTATCGCCTTGCAGGGTCTTGACCAAACGGTTTTTCAAAGAGAATGGCGAATATAGTTTTATTATAAAAGTTGACAGTACCCAGAATTTTATTGATTTTCTGATTATATTTAGTAGTATCACTTTCATAAAAAATTTAAAGGGTCAAAAGTTATTTAATTAAAGACAAGAAGCAGAATAATTAAAACTGTTTAAGTTAGATATACACCTTACAACTTATGATAATATTTTTCAGTGATTTGAGAATATGCATTTAACTTCTGAGGATAAGCTTTGAAATTGCGATCCAAATAGTGTTGCCTTGCTCTGTATTCGAATTCATGGTTTTTTTTTGGTTAGGTTTTGTATTGCTAAGTAACTAAAACAGACATATTAATAAATTGTCTACGACAATAATGTTGATTTTAACATCTAAAGGAAACAAAGAGTAATACAACAAGATCTCCTCACAATGGATGATAGTAAGAAAAAGGCGTTGCACAGAAAACTAGTGTGGGAAAGGTGATATGTATCCTAGTATGAAAGATATTGTAGGGAGACAGTTTGTCACCCTCAGAATATATTCGCAAGCCTTTTATGTGAAATAAAACTAGAACCAAAGCAAAAATGAAAAAAATGGTATTAGTAAGATATATACGTGCTCAAGTTAACAGCAGTGGTATCTAAAACTACCTATTACATTCTGCAATCGAAAAGTTTACGTGCTCATGTTAACAACATTGATAGTTAAAAGTACCTCTCACTTTCAGCAGTCAACAGATATACGTTCAAGTTAGCATCTAAAACCACCTCTAACCTTTTGTAGTCAGCAGAGATATACATGCTCAGGTTTACAACGTTCATATGTAAAAATATCTCTCACCTTCCTAAGTATTAACTTTCGTACCAAAACTACTTCACACCTTCTGCATTTAGTTGTGGGAAGGGGGCGGAAGAAAGGAAAACGACAAATTATAAACAGAATAAAATAAGTGCCATGATATAAAATACTGTTTAGATATTATTGATTAATTTATTTTGTGAGTGAATATTTTATTATTGTTATGATAAGAGTTAAAAGCAGATGATTGTAGGAAGTTGTGTTTATAATTCGTTGATGTTGAGACTATCGAACGTCGTGTGCAGTACATTGAAGTGGAGAATATAGAGATCTCTGGAAGGCGGGCAGATGATTAAGTGATAGAGATATAAATAGTGTGGGACAAGCGGAAACAGCAGACATACAATAGCAGAGAGGGAGAAAAGTTACAGACAAGGAAAAGTTCGGCGTGAAGTTAACTATCGTAGAAGTGATAGGCCTATCGATTGATATAGGCCTAACGTTTAATATGTTTGAGTAAGATTAACAGTAGAAAAGGAGATAAGAAGAATAATTATTCCGTTAAAGCGTGATTCTAAAGTAATTGAATTAGCCTGGGTGCACTTTGACAAAAGAAACAGAGGATATTTTGAAGAAAGAAGACCAAACCATTACGTCAACTCGCGCCACAATTGTACGTGAATCACACACAAAATACTAGTGCGATAGTAATAGAGAAGATAATTCGGCTTGCCAACTAAAATTCTAAAGCAATTGAATAAACCTAAGTGAACTTTTGACAAGAAGAGAACTATATATATATAGTGTTTAGGATATGTTTATAATATCTATGGTATTTAAGAATTTGTTGTACATACGTATAACTTGTTCGGAATATATATAGTATTTTGAAAACAAGTGAAATGCGTGCTGTTCATTCATCGTTGAATTTGTTGCCAACAAGTCACAGACACCTACTGTAGAAGAATCCTAAACCCAACAACAGCACAGTATATATTTATATTATTAAGAAGTATAAGAAAAAGCCTTTTTAACTTTGACAATTGTCAAAAATAATTATATTTAAAATTTTGGCAATAAGTTACCACAAAATGACGACTAGGATGATAATATACTTATCTCCTGAAGTTGGCATTCTAGAATTATAGTATTCATGTAGTTGTATGATCATCAAAATGAAACCTAAGTTACTAAAAATGAATATGAGCCCTAATTTATCATATTCACTAACTGTCACTGAGTTATACTGGTTCGAGGAATTACGCCCCTCTGAACCAGGGCAAATAACGATAATGAAAAACAAAAATACAACAAGACTAGGCATCTTGTAGTGGTGACCTAATACCGTATGTATGGTGTTTTTAGCTATCTTTTCTTCACCACAAGTGAACCTATATTTTCATAGATTCAGAATATGTATTTTTATAGTACTAATTCATTCTTCTGAACTATTCAGAAGGCAAGCTGTTAAAGATACAAAATATTAACATATAGCTCAATCTATCATTCGACTCACCACTTGTCACTAAGTTATATACATATATATGTTTGTGTTTACACACACACACATAAATGTAACAAATCACTACAATACTTGAACTGTTTTTTCCTGTTTTGTATTATTTTCTACCGGTTTCGTGACTTCATAGGTATATCACTATAGGATATAGCTTTTCACAGAATCTATATTAAAAACATTCAAATACCACTTTTCAACTAAATAAAAATAACGTACAGACATAAAATATCATCCTTATATAAAATAATTACATTCAAAAGTTATAGAAAACGTGTAGGTTCAAGAAATCAATTGAACACAAAGATACCATATTCTATAACCCAAACGCTTTCGAAAAGTGCACTTTTCTTTTTCAGTTTGCCCCTGAAATAGAAAGATCCACCTTTCGAAAGCGCTTTGGTTATAGGGTATTATATTTTTGTGATAAATACATTAAAATGTACTCAAAAATAAATCAATTTAAGCGTATCAAATATAGTTTCACTTCTTTTCTATTACTTTATAATTGTTCTTTTGATTAAAACTTTATTTTAATTACAGTTTTTCATGTTATTGTAGAAAAAAGTTTACTTCCATAATCTTTAACAATTTAGTAGAAAAATATATACCTCTTACTTGCTTTATTGTCCTTTTCATGACTCCTACACCATTACACAGTTCAGCTAACCTTACACAGATACTCATACTTCTACGTTCATACTTGTATCTGTTAAAAATGGCGCCAAAGTATGAAAAAATATTTTTTTCTGAATTTAAAATTTCCTTAAGGTATATTCTTCAAAATGTTTGTTGGCATATAATGGGGATTTCTCGGGAAATCTAGCATGGAGTGTATGTAAATTCATCCTTAATCTTAAATTATCTGTTTCACCAATATAGAATTCATCACAATATATATAATTGCAGTTATATAAATAATTAGTGAAAA